TAGAATGATTGACAAATAAATGTATAATATTTTACATCAATAATGTTAAAATATTAGTCTACGTGGTGTTAAATGGTGAGTAATGCTATTTAGCTGTACTGGGATTGTAATCCCAGTTTATGTGGCATTTAATGATAAATGAAATTTAATGACTTATTTAATTTTACTTTTCAGTTAGCCTGTCAACTAATGCTACCTAAACTGGGGATGCAACCACAGTGTGATTACGTAGCATTTCTCATTAAGTGGTTCTAATTGAATGGTCTTACATTTATTACTTTTAATTGAGCTTATTATTTGGTTACACATTGACATATATTGAATACTACTATAAATGCAGCAATTTTGACATTATGGTTCACAGCTCACATGCAAGATGTGGGGCTCACGATTGTGAGTGGTCTAGGCATAATTCTTATTCAGCCCCTGTTTGGATCACATTCTTTTTCCTTTTTCTTATTTTCAGCCACATAATTTTCTATAAAATAATATTACACATAAATCGAAAACTTTTTCATTCTTTTTCATTCTTTTTCAACCATATATTATTCAAAAACACTATTTCAAATTTTAAAATTTGGAAAAAATGGGAGCTAAACAGGGGCAATCTCAGGTGAAAAAATCATTATAGTTTTTGGTTTGAAAAAAGAGAGTACTGTAATTTAAAAAATAATGCTATTTAGTTTTATTAGGATTGAAATTGCAATATAGATGACGTTAATGTAATATTAAATGACTCATTTAATTTTACATTTTATTTAACCTATCATCTAATACCATTTAAATTGGGATTGCAATATCGATAGGTACATAGCATTTTTTAATTTAAATAGTGATGATTTAATTCTAAATTAATTAGGCTAAATACTGATAATTTAATACTAAATATTTGAAACCTTTGCAGCGCGTACAGAATACCGCCGAAATCTACAAGTGGCGAAGAGTGACGTGTAAAAGCAGCACGTGCGGCAAATTACACCTCCATCACCTTTCTTCCGTTTCATTATTTCAACTAGACAAAACTCGAAACCGAAATCGAAAGGTCAGTTTCTGCATAAGAATTATCGAAGAGGAAATGGCTAGCCGAAAACCTAACTCATCAAGCATGACTCTCGTCAAAGGATCCGCCAGCCCGTCGAGCCCTGTTGTTTCTTCTGCGGGCTCGTCGAGTCCTGTTGTTTCTGTGGGCTCGTCGAGTCCTGTTGTTTCTGCGGGCTCGTCGAGCCCTGTTGTTTCTGTGGGCTCGTCGAGTCCTGTTGTTTCGGGTGATTCGCCTGCTTCTGCTGGTTCGGGTGATTCGCCGGCCTCTGCTGGTTCCGGCAACTCCCCGGCCTCTGCTGGTTCCGTGGGCTCAGCAGCCTCTGCTACCTCCGTGGGATCATCGGCGTCTGCTAGTGTCGTGGACCCACCGGTTTCTCCTACCGCAGCCGATGACAGTGCCTGCGAAATGCAATTGGCCATGAAGCTCCTCGTCGATCTCCAGGACGCTGATCTCCGGGGAAATGCCCTTTTGGAACTCTGCAAGGTTTTATTAATTTATTTTTCTAATTCTATTTCTAATTTTATATAAATTTCTATTTTTCATCTGTCGTTGTTTCGAGTTTTGTTTTTAATAATGAGTGATCTTTTTTGCCTGTGTGTTAAATTGCTACACAGTGTTTTAAGATTTTATTTTCCCATTTGATTGTAAATAGGATTTTCAGTTACTTGCTGGGGCCTGGGTTGCTATTTATTGAGTAATTGTGTAACAGACATAGTTATATCTCCCATCATTTTTAGCTATAGCATCGTCATTTTCCTTCCCATGAGACCTGAGTAAAAATGAAAAGGAAAAAATGTACAATTAGGAAGCTTCCTTGGACCGTTGTCCATAGTAAAACTATGACATTTAATTAAATAATGCATAGAGGTTTACTGAAAAGTATATGTGGACATGATGATCACAAATAAAAATGGTTGAAGGAGTGTGATGACATTAGTTAATAGGATTGAGACTTCTAAATTTTGTCCAAGAACAAGAGAAGGTATATAAACTTATTTATTTTGTAAATGCTGTTATAGATAATATTAAGAGGGCGGACAAGTGAGAATTCTGAGGGGTAGCTCAGTAGTCAGGTCTTGGATTTGCTCTTCAATGGTCATCAGTTCGAGTTCCCTCAGGACCATTGAGGTGAGCACCCGACTGTAAACTTCAAGGTCCCGTAAAATTAGTCGAGGTGCGCGTAAACTGGCCCGAACACCCATGATTTAAAGAAAAAAAAAGGTGGACAAGTGAGAAATTCAATGGATTGGTGATGTGTTTTTGGCCAAGGTGGTAAATGTTCACAAATAATTTATTGCTGTCTAGTACATTTTGCATTAAGCTTAGGCATTGATTCAACTTGTACAGTAGGCTCTATTTTTATCTTGAATTTCAAGGGTATTCTTACTTTTACTTCACACAACTGTCAATTACTGTTACACATTTTCTATACTGTAATTATACCTCAGGCGTATAACGTCAAATTTTGTAATATAACGATTAAGTTAGGATATCGAACCCATAAGGATTGAATATCAATTTTATACTAAATACTATAATTGAATAGCCTCTATTTTATCTAGATAATTGAAATTTAGTATCAGTGGTTTTATCTAATTCTACGGTGAATATGGTGATGAACTCAATGATTTGTATGCAATTTAGAAGAATTTATCAATATGAGAAAGCATAAGGTTGTGATTTCACCTTACTATTGACTATATTTATTAACTATATGGTTATCTCTAATGAATTTTTCAAGTTTATAAGTAAGAACACTAATGTAATTCTACTCCACTCGGAGTGCTGAGTTAAAACAATTCCTATAATTATGTTTTCATATGTCTATGTAGAATTAAGCATCTAATAATTATCAAGTTCTTGGTTCTTATGTTGGACAATTTTAGAGGAATTATACTTTTTTTTGGAAATCAATAATTTTTTAGGTTGTGCTATTCTAAAATCACGTCTAAAACTCAGTCTGTCGGGTGTCGAAACTCAAACAATAAAATAAATAAATTAATGGCCCCTTAATTGAAAGTGTTAATCTCAAATAACACAAATAAACTAATTGGAAAATCCCAAAGAAATAACAAATTAAAATCAAAACAATATCTCAAATGTCGATTACATCAAACCCTAGATAGATAATTTAGTTCATGATGGATGAAAAAGATATAATCAAATTCAAAATAAACAAAAAATGGCGAAGAAAAGAAATAAAAACTGGTTTGGAGCTTGAATTAATCTTCTTCTTGTTGTTGCCGTTCTCTTTATTGATATTTTGCCTTGTTGAATTCTCCCCCTTGAAAAGTGCCTTTCAAGTTGTATTTGTAGGTTCTTTGAAGTCCTGTCAAGTTGGATTGCAATTGAGCTTGTAACAGATGAAGTAAACTCGAAAAATCCTACCGACGGTGCAGCGCTTAGGCGCCCAACTATAGTGGCCTGCACGCCGTGACCTGGATCTGGGTTGGTGATTGCACGCCAGCATGCTGGATTTATTTCTTCATGTTTGGGCGCCTAGGCGCCACCACCGTAGCACTTGGGCGCCCAGGTTCTGCTACTTTGTCTTCTTTCTACTTTGCCAGGCGCTGGCTTTGAAGAACATTCTTTTGCAATTTTTCTTTTTCTTAATTCAACTTGGCCTCTTTTTTCACGTCTTTTGCATGGTTTCCAAGGCATTTACTTGCCGATTCATATTATAATCCTCTTTAGCTCCTTCACATTTTATGATTAGCTCTTTTTCACCAATTCATCAATCCTACAAATCAAAACTTTCTAAAAACTCAATGTATCTAATAAATTGTCAAGTTAAATTGGTATTAAAAGCATAAGCGAAACAAACTCATCAATACCAACTTACATAGCTAATAGCTCTGTGTATATAATCATACAAGAAGCAATATTCAGTGCAACTGAAGTAGAATTATATTTCCAGTTGCAGTTTGATAATTTAACTTTTGTGGGATGAAATCAAATTATTAATATTTTGAAGAGAAGACGTCCAAACATGCAGCTCATTTATGAGAAGGCACAAGTCTGGAATTTCTAAACCATTTTTGTGAATCAGCTTTGTCTTTTAACTCTTCTGCATGACATGTTCAATGTAGCTGTGCATTTGTGTTTATGAGTACCACACAGTGGCACTTTCCAAACTTGGAAACTTGACCTTCTTGAAACTAAAGGTCGCTGTATTGGGATCAACTGAAATGGTATTTAGCTGCAAGACGCTTGACATGGCATTACTAGTGGTCTAGAGGGCTTTATTTTAGTTTCTGATCTGAGTACAAGTTATTTGTTTTTTCATTTCATGGTATATTAGAATTGATATGTGAATCTGTTTATGCGCCATCATCTGCATTATCACCAATTCGCTGAGAGGTTTACTCATTCCTCTTCCTTCTATGATCTGTAATCATGAACCTGTCAGGTTTAGCATCTTTTCCATCTTTATATGTTTTTTTGTTTGAAGAATTCATCTTTATTCCAAGGTTGACCTATTTTCAATCAATTGCGTTATGGATGCCTAATAAACTCATTTTTTGTCAATAGATGAGAGAAAAATTTCAAGATTTCGGTCTGCTACTATGGCAAAGCTTCGGTACAATGGCAATACTCTTGCAGGTATAATTTTCAAACTTTTTCCATAAGTTCTTTTTCTCTTCACTATTTCTCGTTTGGTTTTCAATAATTATTTTGGTAATGCATGATCGTACAAGGACCATATTCTATTAATTATTTCAGCGTCATTCTTTTCCCAATGCTAGGCTACTGTTTGTTCTTTGAAAATATATATTGTAAAAAAAACTACTCATATATGTTATAAGTTAGTGCAATTTATGGAGCTGTAGCAAATCTACCGCATAAATGTATTAATCGATATCTTGTAATCTTATCCAAAAATTTGGAGGAAAAGGTTATGATTTATGATCACATGATTCTTTATCTATTTTTGACTAATTTTATCATCAAGAGTTACATTCTTCTAACTTGCTAGTGTTCATTTTTTATTTAATGGCAAGCATCGTTCCTTTCCCATCTTTTATGATGACACTTTTTTGCTGATGTTGCTGTATGTTACTTACTTACTCTTGCAGGAAGTAATTGGCATCTACCCGTATTTATCACCACCTACTCTAACGTCAGCACAATCAAACAGAGCCTGCAATGCACTTGCCCTTCTCCAGGTATGATTTCCTTTTGTTTCCTCGATTTCTCCTGCAAAATCATTGTTGCTGATTCTTCGGCAAATTCTTTTCTATCTTTATTTTTCCATGCCATACAAAAAATTGGTCATGTTGTTGCATTTGTCTATATTACATGACACTAAAGGGCCCATTTGGTAAGGTCATGCTTTTACTTCTGCTAGAAGATCTAAAAGCTTTTATAGTCTGGCATAGCATCAAATAGGTTTAAAAGCAACTTCTTAATCTCAGAAGCAGTTTTTGACTTTAAAAGCATTGCCAAATAGGCCCTTAGCCCTGGTGCACATGTTGGTATGACACGAACAAGGAACGAGACCAGGTATTGCCGTGGGACATCTATATGGTAAATTGCTTGAGCTGGCACTAGCAACCTACGACATGAAGGGGATAGCTGGAAAGGAGGAGAAAAATAAGTAAAATGAAACAAAGGATAAGCAACTTATCTTCTCCTCTGCTTTCTGTTGCTAAACACCAGTTATTGTTGTTGGACATCTGTAGGGCAAATTCTTGAGTTGCCACTAGCAACCAAGGAGATGAGGGATAGTTGGAAGGCAGAAGGAAAAATATAAGTTAAAAAGAACCGAAGGATAAACAGATCTTCCCCTCAGCTATCTGTTGCCGGAATTTGATTTGGGTATTTCGGAGGATGTAACAAGAAAAGGTGCCAAGCATCTTCATGGTCGCCGATTTGTTTTGGCGGGGAACAATTTGCATTTTCATCTGTGGTTTGGGAAGTTATAAGGAATAGATTTGTTAAACACTAAACAAGTCCAAAATACTGAATTTCTTATGTATTTGAAATTCAAAACGCATAATTTTGTTCTTTATATTTATCCATGCTAAATTCCGAGATAATCTTACCCTTGAGTGAACATTATTTTACAATGTTTTATTCTGAAAATATAATTTTTTCATTAGTTATTATCTTTTCAAACACATCTTCTCTTTTAAATTAAGTATTCTAATCAGTTGCATGCTATTTTGCCATATTCCTGTATTGGCAACTAGAGCCAGGAATTCTGGAGTGTGCCGAAATTGAGACAACATAGTCCTTTATTATTTTGGTGCTTAACTTTATGGCATTGAAGCTAGACACTTTTATGAGTGCAGAGATGATCCAGACATGCTTGCAGACTTTCTCTCTTTGACGATAGTTTAAAATAATTGTAACTCTTATGTATTCTGATAATAATATACAAATTGAACATGGGATTCTACTTAATCAAGTTAATGAGAAATATTTCACTCTGCGAAAAATATAACCCCCTCTCTAGAGAAAATAAATAATTGTGAACAAGAAATATGAACATCGTCCTTACCTTGTTCTGATGTGATATTATTATTTTCAATCTTTTTTCTGGTAGTGCGTGGCATCCCATCCGTGCACAAGGAGGTCGTTTGTCAAAGGTACTTTATCTCTTCCACGTGCGAATTTTTATTTTCTTTATCCTTTAAGAGAATGAGATTTTGAAGTTAAATGGAGTTTTCTCACAGCTTGTACATGTTCATTTGTTCTGGAAGTAGGAGTTTTGACAACCTATTATATGTGACCTGTCATTTTAATTGCTGGAGGAGTTGCCCTATCTTTTATTTGTCATGGCATTATGATATTACTGCTTGCTCAATAAAGATAGCAAAGAAAGAAAACTCTGTTATTATGCATTTCACTTCATAAATTGGACGTGTAAGAAGCGAACACTTCACCATGTGATTCTTCAAAGAAGTATGACACAGAAACATTGATTTAAATTATCCACATTTATATAGTACTATTATTTTGAATATTATCAATACTCTTTTTGTGTTTATTTTTGTCGGTGAAATCTTTTAAATAAGAGTAGTAATTATTTATTATTCTAAAACAACTTCGAGTTCAACTATAGATTACTATTGCGACGAAAAGAAAAGTACCAATATAATAAATGTAAACCAAATTTGACATGAAGTTTGTAGAACTTTTCTCAAATTATCTTGACATTTTTAGATAAAGCTTCTGATAATTATAAATTAATTTAGTTTTATAATTTCAAAAATTACAAAATGGGACTTCTGTGTCCTTTGTGCATGTGCGTCCAGAACATGTTCCTCTTTTGTTATAACTATAAAAAATATGAACAATATAGAACCCGCCACATGCCATGTTGGACAATGCCCGAGTTGTGCCCTAAATTATCCCTCAAGTGTTAAAATTAAAAATATCTGAAAAATAGGACAATCATGTGGTGTGTCATGGATGTGTCTTGGAGCATTTGTTGGCATCTGACGCGACATGATACTTGTTGGATACGGACACATACGTACAACCCTAGAGTGTTCGTTCTTCATAGTTTGACCTTAGTGTTTACTTGAGTGAATTTTTTTCCCGTTTCCTGATATAGATGAATAGCTCATTTTTCTCACTGCTACTTCTTCTAGGATGCACATGTTTGTGACATCAACTCTGACATTTTTTGCTGATATTTCCCTTTGTTGCAGCTCACTTTCCATTATATTTGTACTCCTTTCTTACCACAAATTGCAAATTAAGGCCATTTGAGTACCTGAGGCTTACTTGCCTGGGTGTCCTTGGTGCTCTAGTGAAGGTACATCTATAACAATTCACTCTCATCTTCTGTTCCACGTTAAGGTATATTGCACCAACAGAAAGCTAAAAATCCACCTTAAGTTATCTAATTACTTTGAAATACAGGTTGTTTTCTATGTGCAGAAATGTAGTACACTTGCATATTTCTCCATTAACAAAGCAGTTATATTTACTCCTTTTAGTGTGTTATACCTTCTTTATCCTGATCTTACTGCCGTATATGAGGTGTAATATTCTTTGAACAAACAGCTAGATGCTAAGTGGAGTTGGGGGTGTCTGTTTTTACATTATTTGAACTGAGGCCAATTGGCCCTAGTAGTTTTAGGGTATCTGCAGGGAAAGGACACCGAGGAAAACTGCTTATTAAAAAAATAACTTATAAATCCCTGTCTATTGAATTAAAAGCTGGGTAAAAAAAAACTATTAATAGCATTGTTGATCTTGCTTCTACTTGATTTTTGATATTTTTTATTTTTTGGTTGGGTATTATGATTATTTTTGTTCACGACATCTATAAAATTTTCTGTATATCGCTTGCTCACTTTTCCTAGCATCTTAAAATAACATAATTTGTCACTTTTTTCAGGGAGATGACACTGCAGTTATCCGTTTCCTTCTTGATACAGAAATTATGCCCCTGTGTCTACGCCTTATGGAGAATGGCAATGAAATGACAAAAACGGTGAAGTGTCTTGAAACTTATTATGGATCATGTCTGCCCTTTTAATTAATTCCCAACGAGAATACCTATGATTATCACTGGTCAAACTTTGTATTACTGTCCATGTGGTCCAGGTAGTTTTAAGGTATTCGAGTCGTCGTCATCTCCTAAAATGTATTGAAGAATTCTTTCTTTTTCTTGTTCATCTTTGGACCTTTTATATACTGAGAAAATTGCTGTGGCAGCATTTTCCTTAGTTGTTGGGAGGTGGTTGCAAATGTACATGTTCAACTAGGAGTCTTAGCAGAGGGCATAAAGTCAGTTCTAAGATATTCTGTCTGAGGCTTATGCCTTGAGGAATATGCTTCAATAAGTTGTAGCCCAAGACTGTTGAAAAGGCACCAAAACCTTAAGTATCACTATCGCACCAAATGATGATCCGCTGTCAAATGTTGTTATCTTAATCTTACGATACCTGATCTGCCATGCCGTTGGAATATTAGTGTTCAAAAACCATCCACATTTTTGTCCAAGTTTTTCATGTTTAATCTGTTGTGGCATTGATAGATTTCTCTTGTGGAGTCACATTTGGGACCTTAGAGCACATGTGATAAAGCACACATGAGCACATCTCCGCATTTTCACACACACTTTGCACATGCTGTGCAGACTTGTAGATGGATTACAAGTCCATGGCTGTGCATAGAACGTTGTGTCCTAACTAGAATTTTTAGGCATCTCTTGTGTAGGTGGAATGTCAGCTTTGTACTTTGATGTGTTTTGATGGACCTGGCAGATTCTGATAGAATCGTTTGGATTGGCAGGTTGCCGCATACATCCTGCTAAAGATATTGCAGGATGGAGAAGGCTTGGGATATGTATGTGTTGCAGCAGATCGATTCTATGCTGTATGTCGAGTACTGAGGAGTTTGGTTGTCGGACTGGCTGAAAAACCTTCACCTCTGCTATTAAAGCACATTATTAAGTGCTATATTCGGATGTCTGAGGACCCAAGGTTGATCATATACGGATTGGATGCAGTTACTTCTGTCACTGCATTCCTCTCTGCACTTTCACTCATGCACATAAACTAATAAACATTTTTTTGCAGGGGTCGCATTGCACTAAGAGATTCCCTTCCGGAAATTCTCATGGATGGCACATTTAATAGTCTCCTTAATGTAAGTGGTTCTCAATGCACAAGTAACTTTAATGAAAATTACTATATCTTATCTTTCTATTGTTCGACTTTTTATTGTTCTTCCTGATGCCAATATGCTCTATGTTTCTAGGAAGATCGAATGATGAAAAGGTGTCTGAGACAGTTGATTCTCAATGTTCATGGGTCTCTGGCTTGTCTTCAAGGTGGGGGGACATCTTAGTTATGCTGGTCAATTGATACAAGACATAGGGTTATCAGATGATGCAGTGATGCTTTTCCTGGTTGATGTGCCAGTGTTTATCATTTATATTTGCTGCTTTTGTTAACATATTTTGGGTAGATTTGCAGTTCTTTAATCGTATTCCTGGTTTGACTTTTAGCTTCAAATAAAGCCCTAACTCAGTCCAGAAATATTCTGTTTATTGCCTTTGTTTATTAATTTTATGTTCTTCTGTTATGTTAGTAAATGCTGCAATCATTACTTTGAATAATTTATAGACCGTGGAAGCTAGTCTCGCTTGTAAACTGGACTAATTAAAGTGAAGCACTGTTGCTTTGAGTTGGTTATAATTGCAACGGTTAATTCTAGCTTTAGATTGGTGGACTGTGTTAAATTTTGTTTCGTTCTTGGTCGAAGGGTATGGAAATAGAGTGAGGCTGCACCAATTTGGATTCCGTTGTTACTAGGATTAAATTATCTACTGAGTACGATAAGATAGTTTTATCTGTAAATAGAGCAAATTCAGTTATATTTATTGATTTCACATAGCTGGAGTCCGCTGAAATTAACTTGTACAAGTATAAATAGTTAACTAAATTTTTTTTGCATACAATAAATTCTTATATTTAAATTTATTTTTTAGTTTTTTTCTTGAAGACCTTACTGAGAGATCATAAATAAGTGTTTTATATTAGTTTATTATGCTGAAGATCTGGTCGAGCTCAAGTCAGATTGAGATTCATTTACACTATCAAACTGGATTTTGATGCGGGTTGGATATCATTGATGGAGTAATTGGTTAGAAGTATATTACTAGGAATAAGAATGATGGAAGCTTTAGATCGTATAGGCTAAGCTTGGTATATCCAGATTGGTTTAAGTTTAGAATTCAATTATATAACTAATTAACATAGCAGGAGTGAACTGAATTAACTAACTAAACAAGAATAGTGAGTAGAAACATAGAGATTTGCTCATTTAATTTTTAACAAGAAGTAAATCTCGACCTTTGATTTTTGAATTTTCTTTTAAGGCCTTACTATGGGTTCTTAAATATATTTTGGATCTACTTAACAGTACCGAAGTTCCAGCCAGATTCCCGTTTAACAAACTCAATTTGATATGGATTGATTTCTGTAGATAGTGGTGATGCTGGAAACTCCTTGTACTTGCTCTTGAACCTCAGGTATTCTATGATTTGCAAGAAAAACGGGGGCAGATGCCCCTGGTTGATCTCCCATGCTAATGCCCGCAAGATATGAGAATAAATGTGTATATTTAATGTAAAAGATGCTACCATGGACCTTGCTTTACCTAGTCTGGGGACTGGTCATTTTATTTTAGGTACGACAAGCTTAGTCATCAGGATTTCCTGAAATACTAGGGTTCTGATGAAGGATTAATCCTTTACTATAACTGGAGAACATATTGACTGATTAGTCTGTCGGTGGCCATGTATGCACGATGCTAGAATGCATTGTTTCTCCGATGGTCTGTATGTTGGTGAATCTTTGACATAGTTTGGGCCTCTAGAGCCACTGTTCACTGGTCTAGGAGCAAGGAAGTCGAGCTTCGAGTTTCTTTGTATCACTAGATAGTATGAATGATCAGAAGAGCATATCATTAGGAATAAGTAAAATGGAAGTTATAGATAAACGTAAGTCTAATTAAAAGTTGAAATTGTTACAGAAACACGCTACTTCTAATATTATGTGCCTGTTTGAGTTATTAGTAGTTGAACCAGCCTCATCTTTTCATCCTTTACTTATCTTGCATGAGCTATATGTGCATGATCGAGTAGTATAACTAAACTAGGATACTGCATATACTGCTATTGCATGTCTTAGTCTGGTTTGGAATAGGTTGATGCCAGATGCGATCTTATTTTTAGTGTAGTAGAGAAAGGGTTAAAAAGGAAGCGAATACCTCAATGTTTAAAAGTTTTAATATGTTACTGAGGCGAGGCATTAGTATTGAGATGCTTTGTGGCATAGGCCTCAAGACAAACCAATAAAATAATTCAAAAGAATGTAAAAATACAAAATTATCCCTCATAATATTCCACAAATCATCTTAAGAAATCATGATAAGAACCGATTAACAATATAAAACTCTAGCGTGCATACAAATTTAAAATAGATCAACAGTAATTATCACTAACTAACTTACAATTAGTTATCAAGTAAAAAAATTGTAATCTATTGCTAGAAGTAGAAACAAATAAAAAATCTCTTAAATCATTACTACTAACAGGATCCTGAAAGAAATCTTCTACCCCATTTGGTTCACCTACCATCTTCTTATTCGTTAATAGTATTTTTTATTTTTTTTCAATGGTTTATTCTCCTTTCCTTTCCCTTCTATGTAGAGGCAGAAATAAGAAAATAAAAAAGCCGGTAAAACATTTTAGGTTTTATAAATTAGTTCACAAGGCCAAAAATAGAAAACGAAGGACAGTGGACTTACACTTAGTCTCCCTGAGGATTAACCTCGATGTGTAAGCCCCACAAATGGCACTTAATCATAAGCTTTGAGGCGTTCAACGAAATCCTCACAGGAGGCGAGATTAGAGGCATTAGCAGTAAATAATTATTTTAAACAATGGATTTCCTTTAGAATATCAGTATCTTCCAGACCTCTGTTAAAAATTTCTCAATTATTCCCCCCCCCCCCCCCCCTCCTCCTTTTTTTTCAATGCAAACAAACCTAATTTCTTTGCATGATGCGTCAATATGGTAACAAATTCTATTGCATGAGTTTACTTCTCTTTTAAGCCCTGTTTGAGCCCCATTTTTTTTTTGGAAAAAAGTCATTTTTAAACAGTGTTTTAACATCATTTTAACCACATATTTATCAATAAAATAATATTACACACAAATCCAAAACTTTTCCTTGTTTTTTAACCACACATTTTCCATCAATACACTATTCCAAAATTCATTTTTCCTCCAAAATGAGGCTCAAACAAGGGCTAAATGATCTTAGTTTTTCTTATAACATTAAAATCCTACAAACTCTCTGTTTCATGATTGTGTGATTTTTAAACCATGCTCTTTATGCAAGCTAGTTGGCATCAAACATGTTTCTGTCCTGCTGACTTTTTATGAGTGTTTGGATTTCTTTCTCAGGCAATACTTGTCCAGAACTGTGGGAACCAGCTTCTGGAGTTTGTTGGGATTTGATTACTTTCCTAATCTTTCTTTATGGCGGATGGGGTTTTTGCTTCTTAGAATCTTCCAATCCATCAGTGGGGTATGAGTGTAGTTTTAAATGAATATGGTACATCAGGTATCAGAGGAGTACGAGTATAATATTAAATAAATATGGTACATCAGCTCTCACTACACACTCTCTCTCTCTATTTCCCCTCCCACTCTCTCACCATCTTCTATTGACGGTAATATGGCTATCAGAGCAGGTAATCAGTTATCATCAGCATTATTTGACTAGTTATGCTTCTTATTGTTATTTCTTGCTTGCCAGATATCTTGGGAGAGGTCTTGCAGAATATCTAGTTGGTTTCTCCAACACTGAAGATTCGTTGGTAAGAGTTTGTTAACTGCAAGAGGTACACTATAGCCATTGTATATTGATTGTAATATAAAGAAAACCATTCATTTGTTCTTTTAAGATATAGCAGCTATCTGTCACGAGTTTTGTCCCCCTTCCCCACCTATGTCCACTCAACTCAACCAAGTTTTATATTTTCTTCTAATTGCCTCATCAATGTTATTTTTAAGTCAATCTCCCATTCTATGAGTTTAAGCTTAATGCTAGTCCTGTTGCCTTTAATTACAAGCGGATTTAACAGGTTTCCTTCAATGTATCCAAACCATCTTGATCAGTTCTCGTGCCCTAAAAAGTTAAAAATTGAAACGAGAAACCAAGAAATTGATATTGTTCGCAATTTCTATTTACTTTACCCTTAGCTCATGGTTATTTGAGTCCAAGATGACTTGTTGCAGGAAGCTTAGAAAACGAAGATGATCTTGAGCACCATTTCTCTAACTACTTTCATTATATATTGACTTGATGCCTTCTCTTTTTAGATGTTTGAATGCTACTTCAGATTAGTACTTAACAACCCTCTTTCCAGGACACCATTTTCATGAAACCTCATTAAAACAATACTTTTGTGCTCCTTAGATTAATTTACAGTACAGTGTAACTAACATAATCTGTAGCTTCCTCCTTTATTTAAAGTTGTGGTAAAACTCTGGCTCCACTGCATTTTTCCTGTGGCCCTTTTGCCACCATCCTCTGCTCTTCCATCAACTAAGACCACCATTGCAACTTTTAACACTTTTTTGCCATGAGCCCACTGATATGGTGTATAACGTAGTATGTCATTGCTGTGGCCATCACTATCACCATCACCATGCAGTCTTTCTGAACAACCCCCGCATATAGTCCCCCAGAATCTTGACCCACATAGGACACAGGCCATGGTTTCATATTACGATCTTAATAAATGAGTAATGTTATTTGTCGTCACGAAGATGGATCATCATGTATAGATGGCATTGAATGCTAAATCCAATAACATGAATTTCATGTCCTTGCATTTAATTGGACCGATCATTTAATGCCACTATGTTGCTACACGGGGTGATGATCCATTATCGTGATTACAAATAGCATTATTCTGATATTTGAAAGGTTTCCACATATTTACAATTGCAGAGGCCTTGGATAACCATCTCTCTCTTCTTTTTAAGATTAGTTATTGGGGATAACTTAAGGTTTGGGGTTGAGGAGAATAGAAAATATGACTATTATGAGAGTTGTGGTTTTGGGGTGTTTGTTGTGGTGGTGCAGGTATATATGCTTGTATTTGTTGCAGATTTGTAGTAAATGGAAAGCTATGAGTGTGTGTCTGTAAGCATGCGTGCATGTGTGAGAGAGAGAGAGAGATGTGTACAACTGTTAATAGTTTGTTTTCTTTTTCCTGTTTAAGTTGGCATACTTGAGTAGTGGCAAAATTGGACAGTGAATCAAGTTGTATGCCTCACCTGCAAGACCAATTCAAGTCTTAGTCGGCCTCCCTTGTTAAATGGAGGGAGAGACTGCATACAAGGAAAAAATACTCTAAAGATGGAAGTAGAGGATGGAAACAGGTAGCAACCGCTGTTTAATCTATCGTCTCCTCACATTCGTGGACTTCTGTAGAGCTGAATCGAAGCTATTGAAAGTAAAACTAGCCATTACTGGTGCTCAACTTTCTAGTATAAAACTGCCTTCAAAGTTAATGGGCATCTCAACTAGTAGTGAATATCTTTTGAGCTATGAGCTATAATTTTATGCACCCATTTGTTTTTTCTGTATCTTTTATATACTGTTTGCCTATATGGTGTGTAACCTGTGACAACTGCTTGTGCAGATCTACAAAGTGCAAAGGGATCTGCTCTGCTTTCTGCCTTGTGTAGTTCAGTGCTTCAAAAAATTTCTTGGGTATTCAATGACTGGAAGCCTGTCTGTAGTGCCAGTCTCTTGCTCCGTAACCAGAACTTGGATGTCTTGTACTTGGATGATTATGAATGGTCATATTTCTTTTTCTGAATTGGCTGGTCTCCATCATCATGCCAGGGAATAAGTGAAATTGAGTGTTTTCTGGTCTTAAAATTACACTGCCATGGACGTACGATCCATATAGCATAGAGTAGAGCTATTATATGTATTTATTGTTAATAATGTATGGAGTCTGAAACAAATTCTGAAGGCACCACATGTAATGGATCTCTTTAATTAAAAATACTATTATTGATTGACTTCTGAGTTCTCTGTGGTTTCATATAATTAAATTTTTTAATGAAAGTTGATCTTAGCCAAACTTGAAAATTGATTGGATTCGTTGCTAGATTTTCTGTGGCCAAGATCGATCCAGCCCAATTTACACGGCAATCTCTAAAACAAGCTAGAGTTCAGGTCTTGTCATGTTCACAGGTAATGCGGGTTCATACCAACTCAAACTCCTGATCTTGAAAGTGAAATTTACTATAAAAATCAACACTCAACACTGGAACATCTCTTTCTCAAATCCAAATCTTCACCAAGAATTAAGAAGAACAATAAGATTCAGGTTAATGAAAATCCAATATTTTTGCTACAAATGCCTGAAGAACTCACAAATTTTATTCATTTTTATCTACATATTCTGAAAGTCCCATTATTTATAATCTACAAAAAGACGTACACTAATCTAATTGCAAAAATTTATTAAAACTGGATGCAAGTGGCTGGAATCTGGACTCTTAAAAATTATTCAAAACCACTAATGTAAATAATAAAAATGACACAATTACAGTATAATGCAATATATAACATTTAAATCTTTTCTAGCAAATTTGCAAGATGGTTATCTATTGCAAAATTGCATGTATTTCCAAACACGTGATTTTATTGATTTCTGATAAGTGCATTTTGTGCACTTATTTATGTCACATTACTAAATTTGTATGTCGTCAAATTACTGATTTTATACTTAAAGTGGGTTAATTTTCGTTTGTTTTAATGTTCAACTCGTTTGAAGCAACTTGAAAAAGAAACAAGGATCAATTAGCTATTGAATGCAAGTTTTGGGTATCAAGTCTACACTATGGAAATTGAAGGATTAAATTGCATTATTTGAGGAAGATGAAACCTTGTAGTGAAATATGGCACCAAATGGGCTTGGATTAAATTAAAAAGAAAATAATTGGGTTTAGCATGTTGGACCAATTGATGAAGAAAAAAAGAAAAGCCAAAATTGAAGAAAAATTTGGTGGGATTTGTAATTGGACCAAACACATATATGCCCAAAAAAGTGGTTTAATTGGATTGGAAGGGAAAAAATGGTGGTGAGATGCTAGATTAGGAGGGTGTTTGGTAGATATTTTTATGTAAAAATGTATTTTTGAATAGTAAATTGATGAGAAATGTGTGGTTGAAAAATAAGGAAAAGTTTTTGATTTACGTGTAATATTATTTTAATAAAGAATGTGTGGTTGAAAAGAAGAGAGAGAATAATACATTTTGAAAAAAATGAATACCAAACAAGGCCTAGAGTCCGTTTGGCCCTCATTATCTGAATTTATAATGGGGGGAATAATATTTTTTTAAAATTTGAATAAAATAAAATTTGAATGTAATATTATTTTATTGAAGATTGTGTAATTGAAAGTAGGAGAGAGAAAAAAATAAATTAAATTAAAGAGTTTTAAAAGGGGGGCAAATGGGAGCTTAATATATATACACAGTTGCTGGAGAAAAAAGCAAGCAGCCAATATTATATACGCACAGAAAGGGAGTGCTGTCGTTTGCTGAAAGAATATAAAAAAATACACTTTGGTGGCACTAACTTGGAGGAAAAAGAGAGAAAAGTGGGATGCAAGATTATTATTATCGATATACATACAGAAATTGAGCTGGCTGCTGTTTTAATTTTATATATATATATATATATATAATTGGACGGGAAATTGGGCAGCCTCTGGAGATAAATATAAGTTGGTGGCGGTAAATGGAATATGTATAGAGACGCATACCGGCGGAAAAGAAGACTTACACAAGAGTGAGCTGCAGTTTTGGAAATTGGAATTAAATTCCCAATCTTCATTCGATAATTTATCAATAATTGAGTGGGAATTAGTCACGTTTCATCGATTTTTGACGATGTTTTTTTTTATCCTTTTTGTGTTTAGTTTTGACAATATGCTTGGCTTAGCATGTGATGAATCATTGTTACGAAGTTTTTTGTTTAAATAATTAAATTGATGTTAATTTGTTCAATTGTTTGGATATTTGTCATAGTTTGCCAATAATTGAAATGTTTGTGGAATTTATTATCATCGAGAGAGATAATAAAGTCGTTAGCACATAGTAATAGGTATTCTGGGATTCGATAGATGATAAAGATATACCTTTATGTTTCATATGGTTTTTAAAGATGTTCTAACTCGTTTAATACATTTATCATGTTCTCATCTTTCATCGAAAAATAGGAAAGCAATATGAAGGGAATAGATTTGATAACTATTGAGAGAGATTTTCAATTAAAATAGGAACATTGACCAACAAGTATGATTTTAAATTGTTGAACTAAAAATAGATTCATAAGGGGATTCTACATCTTAACTATATTTCTTGCGAATTTGATAAATTTTATTTAGATTGCTTTTAAGTTAGTTGATAGTTTTAACAATTTTTATTTACAACTCAATTTTGCTATTCGATTAAGGGTAGTGTTAGCTTTAACTTGATCAAACACATAGGTCTCGTGAGTTCAACATTCTACACACCATTTTATTACTTGTTTACGATCTCATTCACTTACGGTTAATCAAACGACCAATTTCCTCTCCTTGCAAGGAAACCGTTTATTCCCTTAGATTAATGTCTTGATACTGGTGGTAAATATAAAACTTTGGCTTAATATAGTACGTATTATTTGATATATTAGTCAAGAAATCCTCATATTAGCCTCGATAGGTTACAGTGGTAGTTGCACATATTGAGTATACGTATTATTTAAAAGTGTGCACAAGTTGATTAGCTTGAAACTTATCGATTAAAAGTCTTTAAATGCAAGATCATGATGCGACTATACGTCAAGTTTAAAAATACAATAAAGAACAATTGATTAAAATTCTTAAAATTCATAGAAAGGAAATGTAGTGTTTTCTCATGCCCGCTTTAATACGATCAGCGTGATTTAAATTTTTAAATGGAGTACCTTATATGCTTGTTTGGTTGATATTAATGAAAATGTATGATCATTAATAATTATAAAATAATCGCCTACCAAACGTGCTTAGTGGGCTACCATATGTAAGGATAATTAACATTTTTTTATTATTTTTTGAAAAACCATATTTAGTGGTGAATTTTATTAATTAAATGTGTAAAAGTGTACATCTTCAGGACATAGCTAGGTTTGACCTTCAAGAGTTTTGCTAGAAATCCCGGGCCACATAAGCCCAGGGGGCCTCCCAGTCCGCAGAGGCATTAGCCTGAACTTCAAATGCCTTGCTCAGTGACGGGAAATATAGAAAGACTAAATCACAAAGTGTATAATTTTATCGGGAATTTTAAAAGCCTCGTGATATAATTGTAAGATTTTTCGTCTGACTAAATAGAAATTGTTGCTGCATGAGACCCCATAATTTATTTATTTTGAGCCATGAAAAAGTAGTATAAAAAGCGTGCTTAATAATGTTAAGTTTCAAGTTTTTACGAGTTCAAGCAGATTTAGATGAAACCTAAAAGTAAAAAATGCCTAAAACTTGAACTAAATTACAAGTCCAAGTTTCGCGTGTAGAAGGATTCTATGCTGCATCTAGCCAAAGCCTAAGCGATGCCAAAACATGTTGTTATGTTTTATGTAATTGGCGATTCCATGAACAAAAAGGAGTAAATTGAACATGTGTAAAAATCAAGGAGTTAGTTGCAATTTTATATAGATGAGTTAGGTAAGTTAGGATTGGAGTTTGGAATAAGGAAAGAATAGACGCTACAATTTCGCTAGTTGCTTGTCAAGATGCTGCTCAAGTAACAAAAACAGAATGATCATCGCTCACTTCTCACTAGAGGATCGCTCGAGCGACAGTGTTATACAATTTTCTTAAACGGCCTATAGTACATAAAAATCCTAAACTATAAATACTCAAGTCTTGCACGATTTTTTGTGGTGGTTGTTCATTGTGCCTCATATACATATCATATTCATATAATTCTTTTGGAGATCCAAGACCATATTCAAACATTGATTCAACCCTTTGATTCTTGAGATCTTGAAACCACATATTCAGAAAAACATCCAACCCTTGAATTCAAAACACTTGACTTCCTTAACACCGTAAGGAATGTACTCTCTTAGTTGGGTATTGGGAGAGATGGACTACAAGCATATGAAAAGCACAAGGATTGTCTATTCTTGAAATTTCGGAGACGGCAGTATCTTGAAGATTACAGGAGGTAGATGGGGAAAGTCTAGTGGAGTTCGCTAGGCAACATCTAACTGTAAGGCTCATTGTCTATAGTAGAGGTAATGACTTAGTCTCGAAGTTTTTACTTAGTTCTGTTTTTTCGTCAACAATATTGGTGTTATTTACTGCTTTTTTATTACAAACTGTGGTAATTCAACTTTAGATAATTGGACTTGTATGCTTAGCACTCGTTTGCCCCCCATTTTGTAGAAATGAAAATGAGCGGTTGAAAAAGAAGGAAAAATTTTCGATTTATGTGCAATATGATTTTGTGGAAGATTGTGTAATAAAAAATAAGATAGAAAAAATAAAATGTAATGAAATAAAAATTAATGGGGATCAAACGGAAGCTTAATTGTTTGAAAATTATTAAAAAGTGACTTATTATTTTTAATAGATTAATTTCGCACGTAAAATCAAACTAAATTCGATAAGTAAACGAACTCTCATGTGCCTTTTAGAATAGTGCTTCTAAGTATGTCCAAAATATCTTGTATAGCGTAAAAAAGAAAGTGCTATAAAAGTTACAAAGTGTTATATTTGCAATTCGTGGTTCAGTCAATGCTATTTATGTCAGTTTCGCGTCCAGTTGGCCTTTCTCTAGGAATTAGGATCGTGTCCATATTGGGGGTGAGCCCATAGAGTTCTCCCGATTTAAAGCACCAGCCCCATCCCCATAGTGTAACAGTACACGTGTCGTATAAATACGCGCATGAGTAGCACGTGTGGCCTCAATACCACCCAATTTCATCACCATTTCACTCTTTTCCCGGTTCCGTTCACTGGTAATAAAGCCTCGAAAGAGAAATCAAATACAAAACATTGCAAAAATGGCTAACCTACCTCAATCCTTGAACATGAAAGCCGCTCCCTTCGAGGCTGGATCCAGCGCTTCATCCGCTCTTGGAGGACCTCAAGCCGTGGCAGGTAACAAGGACCGCAAAATGCAATCGGCTGAGCAACTCGTCCTTGACCTCTGTAATCCTGATCTCCGTGAAAACGCCCTCCTCGAACTCTCCAAGGTTTTTCTTTTCTATTTATTTGTAATTTTAACATTTACGCATGACTTTGTCGTGTTTTAATTTATTCCATGCATCGGCATTTTTTATTTTATTTTTTCAATTAGGCCTATGGGGTTATTCTTGATATGCCCTTGTAATAAATTCTGTTTGGCAGATTATGAATTAATGTGATTTTATTTGTTTCTTTTCAATTTTATGGAAAGATCAGCTATATCAGGATCAAGTAAAATAATTGAAAAATAGAAGCAAAAAATAAAAATAAAAATAAAGCTTATACAAATTTCGCCTTTGGGCTGTATAATTCGCGTTTAACAGCAGCAGCAGGTGCATGAAATCACGATGGAGATGTGATAACGGTGAAAATAATCTATACGAAAAGCATGTGAAACAGTAAAATCATTGTGTGAGTCAGTGTGTGTGGTGTCTCCGGGATTGTGGACGGCCATGGGTGTGAGGGTTTAAAGATGTGTGCTGACCAGCATTGACTTTAATCAGGTTGCATGATATTTTTATTTTCAATGTATTTATTTTATTTTTTTACTAAGTTCAAAAATTGCTAGTTATATCTTAAACCTAACAAAGAATAGATGTAAAAAAAAAAAAAAAAAAGGGAAGGTAACATGTTCAATTTTTGAAAATTTTATCCCAAAAATTTTATCCCCATATATATTGATGGCGATAATAGTAATGATTTTATAGTAATAAATTGTTTCAATATTTAACTATTAAATTTTGAATATAAAAAAGAATATAGTTATTTAGCACCAATCTAGGTGGCAATATTTAATAGGTTTAATTATATGAATCTATTGATATTGTATTTAAATGAATTTATCATTTAATGCCATGCAGTTGCTATCTAAATTGGTTTTTGACACCCTGATAATAGGTGGTAAAGCTTTTATATGGTCAAACTTCATTTTCATCACACATTTTATTGAACCTCCAACTTTAATTCCCTCTTCACAACATATTTCATGGGATCCACCTACTATAATCGTAAGCAATTTTTCTGCATTTAAATTTTTACGATGAACTTCATAATTTTTCTAAGAATTTTTTCTGTGTTTTAATAAAGTGCTCCACTTATTAACTAGAGATATTATACATACAAAATTCAAAATTATCAGATATTAAATCCAAATATTACTAATATTTCACAATTTGCTACTTTAAAAGAGAATTATAACTAACCAATGTTTAATTTATTCTATCTACAATTGGAATAATTTAGTATAAGATTTGAAGTCAAATTTATATGATTTAGAAATATGAATCCAAATAGTGATAATATATCAGGATTAGCTGTTTGGAAAATTAATTGTTAACTACCCAGTATTTAAAATATTTTAGATATGCTAGAAAATATTTACTTTAAGGTTTATCACTCAAATTTTAAGATTAAAATCTTATTTTATAATCGCGTTTAAGATTATTTTTCTGAAATTGATGAAAATTGCTATGCACAGGCTAACTTTTAATATAATTGGTTTAATTATTAATTATTATTTAATTAAATATTACTCCTGGCAAAAAAATTAAAACATTATTAATACCGGAAAATTTTGGTATTATGTTTTTAGAAATTTTGTTTAACTAATAAAGCATTTACTTATTTTTTAATTAATAAATTATGAAATAATAATTGTTAAGTGAAGCAACACGAATTATCAGCCTAAAATATTCACAATAACAGCTATTTATTTTGAAATTTAGAACTTCTACAGTATAAGAAAAATTTATGAAGTTGTTGCTTAAGTAATAAAGATTTAGTTATTGTTCAAATGAAGTTTTAGATCATATTTTACACTTTTTTTATAATTACTTCTTTAAGTAATAAATGTTTACTTGTTTAGAATTAGTTTACAAATGTCGCTCGTAGAGAAAGAAGTATTTATGATTGAATTACTGTCTGTAATTCTGAACGCGCTTCTGGATTTTGTTTTCTCTGTATTTTTATCTTGATTAGAGAATGTATATTTATTCCATACTCTGACTCTTTTCCTGTTCGCCTTTTTGGTAAATTATTTCATATGTGCCTCATACCCTGTTCTTTTTCATAATAGAAGAGGGAACTGTTTCAAGATTTAGCTCCTTTACTGTGGAATTCCTTTGGTACAATTGCTGCTCTTTTGCAGGTAAGTGTTAAGATATTTCCAAAATTTATCTCCACTATTCTGGTGTTTATAATTTTTGGGTTACTTGGTAATGATGATCTCATCATGAAGTTATTCGGTGGATTACTTTGATGTTTGATCCTGCCGTCTTCACTTCTCTTAAATATGTATCATTTTATATTCTAAATAAAGCTTGAGATGACTTGCATTTTTTTCATTAGAAAAAGAACGAAGCTCATAATGACATTGGTAGTCTCGTTTTGTATCACTTTCTACTTTTTGAGGTATGATAAAGCTTCTGACTTCTACTAACTAATTGAGATTGAAATGGACATATTGTGCCACGGAATGTGTTCCTGGAAGCTGATTGGGAATGCAAATGCAAACTGACACTTGGAATTTATGTTTATAGTCTTATCTTATTGTGGAATTTTGATAGAGGAATGTACTACTATGGTTTTCATGTCTACGTTTTTCCTTTGCTGCTTCTATTTGTTCCAATCTTAATGTAAAATAGTTTGTTTGTAACTTTTTTTTTTTTGTTTGGGTTGTGTCTCGCTCCATTTACTAGTGTGCTCTAAACTGTTAGGGAGTACTATTGTGCACTAAACTGTTAGAGAGTACTTTCCTTCTAAATTTGGAAGTTTTTTTTTTTTTTCTTATGAGCAATTGAGCATTAAGTTTGCGCATTATGGTATGATTCTCTTAGACATTGATGTTTTCTTTCTCTCTCCTGCAGGAAATAGTTTCCATTTACCCTGTTTTATCACCGCCAAACCTAACTCCAGCACAATCGAACAGAGTTTGCAATGCGCTTGCACTACTTCAGGTCTGATTTATAGGCTATGCAGCTGTTATGCTGTAGATTATATCTTTTTGGTCTTATAAGAAGGCAGTGTGTGATTGCTTTGGTGTACTTTCTTGTGTCTTTACTTGGATTTGTTTCTTAGGGCTCCACTGATTAAAAATGGAGTTTGAATGAGGTTTTTGGAAGAAAAAAATAGGCGTTGGATGGATCGTCATGATTGCATTAGGTTGGGGATGGGTAGGATCTGGTAATACTAGATTTATGAAACCCTAGAACTTTTATATTTGATGTTTCGTGGGTGTTATCCATCTATTTAAAAAAAAAAAAAAAAATCTAGTTATTCCCATAATTGTATCACTCTCACCATTGAATGAATTTCAGTTGTCATTTTTTGTTATATTTAACTTTTACTCTCTAATGCCAATCATATCCTTCTCAACATTGTACCCCAGCATTGTGTCTTAAAATTTTCAGCAATTTCCCATCTTGACAATTGGAGAGTCTCATGCCTTCTTTGTTTTGAAATTATACGAAAACCTATAAATATTGGCGGCCACATGAACTTTTGACGATGTGATATGTTAGAAGCCTCGAGTAGTTGTCTAACATCATCTATATGGCGAAGAGGTGGGAATGCATTGAGATTCACAAAATAAGATTTTATAATTAGCTTATACAATTGCAGAAGATGCTTTTAAAAAAAAAAAAAAAAATCTAAATTTTAGTTCTCGGGAGGTGTAGTTGGTGGCAATTCTACTTGTAGCTCCTTAGGTCTTGATGCTTGCATCTAGTTCAGAGTTCTAGATTCAAAGGAGTTCTACAATTTTTATGAATATTCCTAGTGAGGCAAATAACTTTATTGATGCATATGCACTATTTCGCTAACAAATTCTAGATAAGCGAGACAAAACTCTTCAAGTATGAAGCATGGATATGGATTTGGTATGCAAATGCACGCATAGGATGTGTGCAAAAAAAGGAGGCTACATGTTGGGATGTGTTGATTAAGAAAACTGTATATCTTGATATTGCACTTGGTAGAATTTCGAAACTAACCATAGTTGAACAAATGGTAAAATTCTAAATTATATTATCGCAGAAAAAGGAATAGATGCTACAATTCAATGTCTTCTGAAAATTTAACATATAGTAGTGCTAGTTCGTGTTTGCTTTGATCTTTATCTATGAAATAGAAATCGTTTCTAAGAAAATTGCAAATCTTGTTCTAGTCGGTAAGTCTCATGATGCCCCTGCAAGCATTGCCATGGGATCAAATTTCCAAATTTTACGCGTAATTCAAAGGGTTGCGACGAAAACAATCTTCAAGTATTGTTCCTTGTCCTAAAGGTCTTTGATTTGACTTGCATCTATTTATCTTCTCTTTAGCCTCTTATGCATGTTTGTTTCTTAGAGCCTTGGATTTGAACTCTTCTGCTCACATTATCTTCTAATGCTATGGCCAATCTCTCTTTGGTTGCAAGGGGTAATGGTTGACATTCTTGACGTCTTGTTTGGCAAGCAAGATGTTTATCTAGGTCTCTTAGTCTCGTATAATTGACTCTCATGGAAAAGGGAATCTTGCGTTACAGTAGAAGTAGAAGTGACGTGGATTATTTAAGAAGCGAAGTCAATTTTTTTTATGAAAAGAAGATCAATAAGTGGGGTTGTGACAATTGTCCTACAAAAGACTGAAGGTTTAGATGTTAGATTGGATTATAGCGAGTCTTCCTAGCTGGTATAAGCTACAATTGCATTAATTAGAGCTACTTTAAGGGACTATGAGTGGCGTGTTTTGGGGAAAAATGCCATTCATGGTAGCAAAGCAAGCAAAGTAGGAAGAACTTATTAGGAAAGATTGAAGACCGAGCGACAAGTGTTGGATCAGGGTGGGAGTTGATGTAGCTAGTGTACACTAGGTGCAACTGCTTTAGCAAGAGCTACTTTTAAGGAAGGGAATATGAATGGCTTGTTTGTAAGGCAAATGACATATAGCAAAGCAAAAAAAGGAGGAAGATCTCATTAGGAAAGATTGAAGGTTGGACGACAATAGCTCAATTACTTAGGAAAGAAGGGATTTTTAACTGTAGTTGTAATGCTGGACTAGGTCTGCCGGTTTGTCCACGAAATTGGTGGATTGAATCATGGCCCTGTTTGGTTGGGATGACTATTGAACCACTTGTGGTGAGGATGACTATTGAACCACTTGTGATTTGTAAGAATGGGTTGATATTTATAGAACCGGACGGATCGTAACCCAATAGAACCTTCGGAGTTTTTTAAAATTGGCCAGTCATTTTGATAATTTATCAAAATAAAGAGGTCATGTTTTGAACCTAGGATATAAAGGTTATTGGTGAACTTGGTACTAGCAGCTTGCCTTTTTTTGATTGATTATAAATCTAATTAAAATGATAAATATATGTTATAAATCTAATTAAAATGATAAATATATATTATTTATTATATTTCCTGGAAGTATTTTAAATTTTTTATTTGTTTTAATAAAAAAGTAATTAAGAAAATATTAAACACTTATGTGCATTTGAGATTTAGGCCCTATTTGGTACCCATTTTTTTCAAAATGTATTTTTTTCTCTCCTCTTTTTAACCACACAATCTTTATTAAAATAATATTACACATAAATCAAATTTTTATTTTTTATTTTTCAATCATACATTTCCCATCAATTTACTATTCTAAAATGTATTTTTACATAAAAATGGCTTTCAAACATCCTCTTTTAATAGGTCAATTGCTAAGCCCATGCTTGGTCCAGCTTAAAATTTTGAAAAAAGTCTAAGTTAAAGCCTACAATTAATTTTAACCATACATTTCTAGAGATCCGCAACTTTTGAACCACGAGTTTCATCAAATTTTATCAAAATTTACCAAAAATATGATTTTTAGCTATACCAAACAGGGGATGAATGAAGTTTTAAACTTGAATACACATTAACTTGTAAACGTAGTTTATATCAATCTTATGTTTTAATAAAAAAATTATCATATTTTAATTTTTTATGTGACAATGACCCGCAAATTGAATGATCAACCCATTGACCTAGTGCTTTTGTAATGGCTAGGTTTGGCATTTATCCTTTTAACTTTTAAGAGGCAATCTAATCTCACATGCAAGAAATCAGTCCTTAGAAATTAAAACAATACAAATGAAGTTCTTGTTTTTGTAATGTCAAGCCATTATGAGTATATTTCAAAATTCCCTAAACATAGTAGCATTAACCCTCAGAGCGCTAACTCAAAGTTGAATAGCTGAAGGTGGATTCAAGAGTTGTTAGAATAAGGTAGGTGAAAGGTGATTGTGGCTTCGAACAATGCGTCGAGAAGTTTTATATTGTGTGTCCATAGAATCCATCGCCTTTTCATTGAAGATAGTTTTCTTTTTCATAATTGCCTTCTTTTTTAAGAGAAATTTTTTTTCATTGCCGTTTTTCATTTTTTTGCGGATTCCTCGAGTTCAAGAATAGTGTTGAAAATTCATTTTCCACACAAATCAAGTTCACGTATGCTACTTGTATACCTTTGTTCCTCGGTCTCTAGTTCTATGCAGAGAGGATGTATATGGATTTGTTGCTCCATCTGTAGTTACGCGTAGAGAGGATGGGTATGATCCACGTGGGATATAGGAGCTATCTAAGTTGCACGGCACGGACATGACACCTACACGTTGATGTGATTTTTTAAAAAAATAGGAAATGAACATGTCGGAATCTGATATTTTAAATTCATATTTTATATTTATATTTATTTTTGTAATTTTAAAATAGTACACGACACATAGAATTTTAGTTGTATGAGGTGTCTTTAGAGTATCCCTAAAGTATAACATAAAACGGAATATATATTAAATGGGACAATGCCAAGTGGCTATTTGGATACATGTCTTTGAGTGTTGTTCGAGAAGTGATGGGTCCGACACGACACATGTTTGATATGTGACACATGTTTGAACTTCACAACCGTAAGGGAAATTGATTCAATAAATGACTGAAAAGCTCCTTTAGATTTGATAATTTTCAATTTGCTTCTGGGAAAACGAAAATGATCTCTCACTAGTTCACATGTTGAGTGGAAGGTAAGCAATGATTCTCAACATGGAAATTGAGATATAAAAGTAAACAATGGGCCAACATGGGAATTGCATTTTCGTGGTGTTAGAAGAATTAAGGACATCGTTTCCAAAAACGAATTCATAAAAGTTGGGAAGAGGACACGATTACAGGCCATTTTTGGAGGGAACTTAATAAATGATGGTTACAGCTCTATGTCCAGATAAGTTTTCCTTTCGGCAGTGCATAAAGTTGCAGTTCTCTCTCTTCAGACGTAGAAAAATCTCCAATTATCAATTATTATTTATAATGGAGTGAGTACAATATTTGATAAGATTTTGACGTGATTGCTGATGTAATGGCTAACCGCATGATTTGTGTTTGCTTTTCAATTTGTGCATATACTAATTGTGGTGCTTCCTCTACTCAAAACCCAGAACCCAGGAGATTTGATAATTGATAGGTGAAAAAATAAACTTCCTCGGAGAGAATGAAATAGGATAAACCATGATGTAAAATTACTTGCTTTGTTTGAATTGACATGGTTTTATATTATGTATTTTGCAGTGTGTGGCCTCTCACCCAGACACAAGAATGCCGTTTCTTAATGGTATGATTTTGTTGTTTGATATTCAAATCTTTCATGTTTAGATATTGAAACTTTTAAGTAAATGCAACTTTTCTTAAGCTAGCACATAGTTATTTCCGTGGGGATTAGTCAGAGTTGAACGTGTATTGCACATAATTTTGAAATATTATATATAAGTATTGTAAAAGTAATATTTGATATGATAGGCCTTAATTTCGATCTGCTGTGGCATAAACAGAATATGGAAGAAAACCAAATTTATGGTAGAAATTTAAGAAAAGAAAGTTATACTCTTAAAACTCAACTTCTGTGATTTAAATTTTTTGTGATGATGAAATATTACAAATGAGCAACATTTTTATACTATATTTGGTATATAAGAATTAATTGCTAATACATGAATTTAAACTCCCACCAAAATTTCTAGATACATGAATAGAAATAAATTTAAATTCATCCATAATAGCTCTAAATTCATGCAGATCAAGATTTGAGTCTAGATTAATGTGAATGCTAATTAATTGAAAATTAACAACATGAAATTCATACATGACCAATGATTTTGTAGTGTTTATTATATAGTGAAAAATGAAACGTAAAGTATTATTGAAATAATTGAATTGTAGTAGGGTTAGAATCATCCAAAAAATGATTCCCGCTTTTATTTAATAGATTATAGATATAGATTATGAGATATATTGGATTTTTTCATTAATTGTACAGCTAACTGTGACTAAAGTTCTCTCTTTTATGTTAAGCCTTCAATGCTTATTCATTGCCATCTGTTAAATGCTAAATTAGTTTTCTGGCTGACCTCTTTTCTGATGTAGCCCACATACCATTGTATCTGTACCCTTTTCTCAACACAACCAGCAAATCAAGGCCCTTTGAGTACTTGAGACTTACAAGTTTAGGTGTCATTGGTGCTCTGGTTAAGGTATTTTCTATTTTTAAAGACTTTTTTAAATGTTATTTTCTTGAGGTGCACGTATTCTCTTGACAGAAAAATGGTATCTTAATTATTGCCATTTTATGAACAAGGTAATTTTGGGCAATTTGCAAAATATAGATGCCTGTAGAAATGGAATAGACTTGCAAATTGGCTTGACAAAAGAGATTGCCCCTTCACGTTCTGCTCTACTTTTCTCACGCA